TAATAATAATAATAATAATAATAATAATAATAATAATAATAATAATAATAATAATAATAATAATAATAATAATAATAATAATAATAATAATAATAGGCTCTCCCGCGTGGCCGGGATTAAGGCTGGGGTTAAGGCCGAGGTCGTGGATAGCGTGGAGGGCGAGGTCGAGACTAGTTATAGCTATCTTCGGTAATAGGTAGCTCGGCTAATTCTGTATCTTAGTCTAGAATGGAGAAGGCGATTTATAAGTTATAGGAATAGCTACGGAGAGATATAGAGTAATAGTCTAGGAAATAGTCTAAATTAACCATTATATCTAATTAAATAGGCGCGACGATATCGTTAATTAAATAAACTAACGATATCGTTAATTAAATAAACTAACGATATCGTTAATTAAATAAACTAACGATATCGTTAATTAAATAAACAAACGATATCGTTAATTAAATAAACTAACAATATCGTTAATTAAACAAACTAACGATATCGCTTAATTAAACGTATATAACGTAGGCAGGTAGGTTATACGGATGTATCTTGGTACTAACAGCACCTGTGGCGGCTATTGTCAAGGTGCCGTCAGTGGGACCCTAGTCGGAATAACCAAGTGCCCTAGCCGGACTAACCTTACCCATGTTATTCCCCGAGGCGGCAAAAGAAACCTATTCTCACCTCCGTGCACATAATGCTTCCAATCAGACTATTCTGACGAGAATTTTGCATTCCCTGCCTTCATCGACGTGCCCATACCGTAGAAGAAACCGGAGAGGATACCGGAGAAGAGAAGTAACGTCACTACTATGGACACGGAACGACAGGAGCCGTTTGCCTTGCATGTGGCGGCCCGGGATGGCAAAGGTCCTGCTCCCACCACCGTGTAGTATCACAGCACACTCGCCTTGCTTATGGTTACCTTCAAGGGCTAGGTGCTGACGAGGTTATTCCCCATGCAGTTTCTCTTTTTGAGAGTCTACTCAAGGTTTGTCATTTCTGGTTCCAAGTAGAAACTGACGCTTACGGTTCCCTCAAAGGCTGAGTCGAAGCTCGCATCCCGCAAAGACGAAGATGGGCGATTGGCTGTCCACTGGGCAGTCTCATCCAATAACCCCGAAATGGTGCAAATGCTGTCCCAGCAACGCGACTTTGATCCGGACGTCCAGGTAAATCTAAGCTCTTCAATTCGAACTATTTCTAGGTTTCGTCGCAGTCTCTGAAATATCGGTTGTTCTTCCCTAGGATGATATGGGTTGGACACCCCTTATGATTGCCGTTAGTCTGAGAGACGGAGATGCAATAGCTGAATTGTTGCTGCGGGCGGGAGCCGATTGCAATGTGAAGAGTGCGTAGCCTGGCTTCCACCTATAACTTGTTCGGGGAAAGCTGCTAATCCTTGGTCATGACTATTCAGATTTTAATGGACAGGTAGGACAACAAGCAACATCATCCCTGGTGCCGGGGCTGAACCATATCCCAGAATGCCTTGCATTTTGTTGCATCGAGGAATAACCTCGACATGGCCAAGACACTACTCGGCCAAGATCCTCCCGCATCCGCCAGGGTCCGTGATAAGCGGGGACAGTATGCAATACACCGTGCAGCAGCCATCGGGTCTGTGCCCATGGTCAGCCTGCTTCTCAAACATAGGAGCCCTTTGAATGCGACTGATGACTCCGGATACACCCCGTTACACCATGCCGTGGCTGAAGGGCACGGTAAGAGCCTCCTCAATTCTTCACTGGGATCACGTTTGATTTATGCTCGCGGGTGTAGGCGATACTGCGGTGGCTTTAATCAAGGCCGGCGCGGAAGTTGACCGGCGAAGCACGGAAGGGTCTCTCCCCTTAGATTTAGCACCCGACAAAGAGGTGTGTACATATAACCCCCCCTTTGCGCCTTCACCGGCGTTATTTCTCATACGGGAGATAATAGGTTCGTCGTTACATTGAACGGTCTATTGAGGCCGAGGGCATCGGGCTTTAAAAGGTATCGTGTGTGGATCTTGTGTTAGACCCTTTCGACTACCGACCACCATTATGTGAGCCAAGCATACGGCCCTGCTAGCATAGATGCCCGCCTGACCGGCCAGAGTACTTCGTAGTATTATTTGAGTGTCCTTTCTACCAATTCCCGATACATTGCCTTGACGTCCTCTACGTCGGCTCGCAGCTCCTCCACGAGCTCACTCTTCTCCCCAAGTAACTCGAGTGTGGTCTGATACCTGGAGTTGATGTCTCCAAGCTCCACCTCCAGGTCGGAGACCTTCTTCGAAGCAGCCTTTCCTACTTGCACTTCCTTCATGAGCGCGGCCAGCTCTGCCCTGGCCTCGTCGCGTTGGCTGGATATTCGAGCCAATTCCTCCCGGGATACCACTTTCTCGGCCTCAAGTCTTCGAATGGCAGCGCTCATACGTTCCACCAGCTGAACTGACGGACCGGCACCGGCGGTGGACACAGAGGCCAGATCTTGTGTTATCTGCCGCGGAGATGATGAGAATGTGTCGGCAGTATCGAAAACCTCGTCCCGTCGACCCCCATGCGACGCAGGTCGTTTCTTTGGCTCCTGTGACTCTTCCAGGGAGATCATAAAGGCAGAAGTGAGACCTGCATTGATGGGCAGCACTGGTTGTCTCATATGGGCCTGGCTTGACAATCGCCTAGCAGATGGCAGCGAGTCATAAGTTCCGTCCACCATGCTGCCCGGTGTGGAAATCTTTCGAGTCCTGCTCGGCGCTCCCTGAAGCATAAGAAGATCGGAACTATATGTTCGTGTGGGGATCGACAGTAGCGGCGACTGGGGACGACTCTGTACCCTTGACGTCGCAGCTGGTATTTCCTCTAGCCAAAGCCTGCGGTCAAAGTTATCCCCTCGGTCTGACTGACATACTATCTGCTGTTTGTCTGCCTCCGCCCTCGCATTGGCGACCTCCTTTTCGGCAGCTTCGGCTCGTTTTTCCAATGACCCGAACCGTTCTCGCAGGGCCTTTAGTTCTTCCTGTTGTTCCCGTGTTGGGATTTTGTCCTTTAGATTTTCTACTTCTTCCTCCAGGCATTTACAACGGAATGCCTAAAAGGGGGAAACAAAGTTCTTGTCAGTGCGATATTGTAACTGTACGGTGATTTGCGAATGTCTTACCATCTCTCGAGCCTTTTTCCGCATGTCCGACTCCCGTTGTCGAGCGTCGTCTCTCTCCGTTTCTAGACTTCCAACCCGGGCAATGAGGCTAGCTTCGATCCCCTGCCAGTTCTCCAGGGCAATTGCGTGCTGCGCTTGGAGAGTTTCGATCTGACGAAGTAACTTACCATGGGTGTCTCCAACCACCCCAGCAGACGTTTCCTCTGCCAGCGCACGCATTGCCTCCAACCTGCCCTCCATTGCCTGTAGCTCATTCCTAAGTTCGACTTCGACAGCCTTCGCCCGCTCTGCTGCTTTATCGGCCTTGTCGGCAAAATCAGCGACTCGTTTGTTGGCATCCTCGACGACTAAGCTCTTTTCGGTCTTGAGGGAGTCGATAGCCTCATTTAATTCCCTGTTTCGTTGTTGCTCAGCTCTAAGTGCCTCAATGGCATTTTTGGATGATGCGGATTCAGTCTCGTCCAGGGCTGCATGCACTTGTCTTCTTAGATCTGCGATGGTGGCGTCCTTGGAAACGACTTCTGCTTGTAAAAACTCCAGCTCGAAACATACGCTACTAAGCTGTCTTTGCGACTCATCATAGACCTCTTCGAGCTCGTCAAGTTGAGCGACTCGGGTTTGTAGGGCTTCCACTTTAGCCTCGGCCTTTGTATACTTTTCTTGGTGGGTTGCCGCGGTCTTTTCAGTGGTCGAAAGTTCTGTCTTGAGCTTCTTGATAATGTTTCGATGTCTTTGCTCTGTAACTGCCATGCTCCTCCCTTCCTCCATTAAGAGGTATATTTTTTCGTCTTTTTCTGCTAGCTTACGCTCGGCAGTCCCAGGAGCGCTCTCTGCAACATACTTCTTCGCTGAGAGACTAGCCTCCCGAGCTAAGTACTGCAGCCTTGCCTGCAATGCATCGATTTGTTCGACAAGACGATGGGTTTCCTTTTGCTGTTCAGCCTTGAGGTCTGACATTCGTGCTTCGTAAGCGACACAATTCTGGCAGGTGCTGGGTGGAGGTTTTGACTGTTCCTGTCTGGTTGCTGGCCTTTCGGAACTCAATGGACGTGGCCCGTTGTCTGAATCATCCAAGGATCGGGTCTTTGAGGGCAATGACGGGTATTCTCTGTCCTCGCTTTGTTCTACGCTTGCGGTCATAGGGGTTGACGGAGGACTAGGCGGCTGCTTTGGCAAATCATTTGATACCGGTGATGTCTGACATGGCCTTGATGCTATCTCGCCAGAGTTCCGGGAGGACGGAGTCTCTGGATTGCCAACTGATGCAGATCCAGCGATCTCGGCTCTCGGCCTGTCTTCCGCGGTATCGGCATTTGATGGAGAGTGGTTGTTTTCGGACGCGACGACTTTGGCCAGGCGTTGTTGGAGTCGATCGTGAGTACGGTTGTTGTTGGATAATGGCTTGGACAAGACTTGATGCCTGCGGTAAGCAATGGAGGACAAGCCAAACAAGGCCAGATCTTGCTCACCTGGTTTGCCCTGAGCTTCATATGGGGTAGCGGGGGTGGTGGACGTGTTAGTTGAGCTCTCAGTAGACTTGCTGACCGACATAGTACCGTTTCCTTCAGCGAGCATGTTGTCGAGATGCGCCTCCATCCCTGCCACGGCCTGGGACAAGAAGGAGCCCCATCGGGAGCCTGTCCCTGAATTGGACATCCTCTGGGAATCTTGAATCTTAAGAAGGGGGACTAGTTGTCGAGAACGGTTCCCATCGGGAGCAAATTTTATTCGGAAGTTTATCTGATCTTTGCGCCATCGACGTCAGGTTTGGTCATGGCATAGTGCCGGGCAATAGAAACTTCGCTCAAGGCGAGAGGGCAGCCCAAATGTCTCAATCCGACAAGATAATCGTAGTGTAGTGTCCGATCATAAGTATGTCTTCGAATAAGCAAAAGAGCGTATATGTGGTGTTGCACGCAACTAATAAAGTTAGTATAGGTTTGTAAAACTACCCTGGGCAGTATAAATACAGATCTATACTAAGTCCCCACCCCACCTTTTGGGAAACCCCCTATTTCGGACACCACTTTACACTAAAACACTGCGTTTAGGACCCCTGCTGTTTTATAGACTAAAAGAGTAAATATTATAAAAATAAAACCTTATATAGATTAAAAATCAAGTACTAATATTCTCTTTATAGTTCTTATATAGGTCTAGTAGAAAGCTAAAATATAGCTTAGAAGTTAGGAATTTAGTTTTATTAGTATTACTATATACTATTATTATTATTATTATTATTATTATTATTATTATTATTATTATTATTATTATTATTATTATTATTATTATTATTATTATTATTATTATTATTAATCTCACTCTACTATCCTAACTAATCTATCTATAGGAGCCTTTCTAGGCTATATGATCCTTCTCGGGTAGCTATAGAGGGGAAAACCTAGGTAAGACCCGGGGAAAACCTCTATACACTTCCTTAGGTGGAGAGGTGCCGTTACGGGGCTAATATAGCCCCGGTTTATCCCTATTATGTATCTGGATCTTACCTTTAGGCCGATGGTTAACGGGAAGTATAGTAGGCTAATAGTTAGGTAGGTTAGCCTAGGCTAATCTCTATTAGTAGAATAGGGGCCGAGGGGGCGCTACTAGGCTTCCGCTATACGGTAGCTACGGCTTTCCCTCCTCGGGCTCCCTATATCCCTCGGGGATTATACCCTTTTTATTTCTATTCGGTTAATAAAAAGAGTAGGGGAGGTAGGCGTCTCCTGCCTCCCCTAGGTGGGTTCCTGCTATATCCGGCGGCAGGTAAGGGGAATAAGGCCTTACCCTATTATAAGAATTAGATAATTAATATCCCCTAAGGCCTTTATATTTTAATCCTCCCTCTTCCTCCTATAACGCTACCGAGTTCGTTATAGGTTTTCTCCGGTCTATTCCCGCTTACGGTCTTATAGGTATACTATATACTATATAAGGAATCCCAAGGAAAATGGAATCCTATATTTATATTAATAAGAAATTATTATTATTATTATTATTATTATTATTATTATTATTATTATTATTATTATTATTATTATTATTATTGTTATTATTATTATTATTATTATTATTATTATTATTATTATTATTATTATTATTATTATTATTATTATTATTATTATTATTATTGTTATTATTATTATTGTTATTATTATTAGTATTATTATCAGATGCCTATAGCCACCTTATCGGGGTGTGATAACCCATATTATATTAGACGTGTGGAGTACCTCGATTCTATATATCCACAGTCATTTCCCCTGCTTTTTCCTTATAGTTAGACATCCCTATAAAGTATTATAAACTTCACTTAGATAAATATATATATAATTCCGCGTACCTTATTTATATTCTAATAGTTATAAGCCCGGCGTTCTAATAAACGAAGCTATTCCGATTAATTCTATAGCTTCTAGGCTACTAAAATCAGCCTTAAGTCTGTAGCGGGTAGTTTAGAATTGTTAGTAACGTCCGCCTCTTTTAGTTTTATTTAATTACTTTATTGTTTTAATCGTACTATCGTTTTAAGTGCTTAGGATAGTTAATTAACCTTTCCGTTTATTCTATTCCACTGCTTTTTATTAGTATAACGATAGCTTCCACAATAGTAGTGCCTATTATAGGCCTCGTAACGCTTATTACTCCGAAAGACTAGAGGCCTTGGATTAAAGCCATGATAACTATCGTGTACTCCCACGATATCGCCGACTTTATTAATCCCGACCTTAAAGAAGCTAAACGGCCGAAGCGCCGTACTTGAATAGATCTACTAACGCCTCTAGCCTCTATTAAAGGAAAAGGTAATTAGGATATACTATTTAAAATCTAGTAGGTGGAAGAGGATTGGAATAAGGCTAAAAAGAGAGGGATCTAAGTACTCTATAACTATATCGGGAAGATAGTTAGCCCTGCTTTAAAGGATTAGTATACCGGCTAAAAGGAAGTAAGAGACATATTAAAGGCTCTTAAAACGCATCTTAAGTCGATAAACGCCGCCTAGAACTTATTAATTAAGAGACGCTAGGATAAATACTTCTAACATATTAGGCGTATACCCTATAAGCGCTAGCTAAAAGACTTTATTAAGCTATACCGCGACGCTAAGACGTATAAAGTTTATAACTACGATACTAAGGACGATTAGATTAACGGCTTCTTTAACGCTATTGGTAGCGTAGTACTAAAATAGTTAGAGAGACGCTTTATAAGGCTCCTACGGTTAGATAAGAAAGACTTACCCTTAATTTAATCTATTATAGACGAGTGTATACGATATAGCTTTATCGCTGTTACCCGTACTAACTCGATAAAAAGCCTACCGTATTATCCTTTTATATGGTAACCTTCCTAGGTAAGGATAAAGAAGGCAAGGATTAGCCGATATAATCGGGATAATAGGGTAATTAATAGTCCTCTCTAAAGAAAGAGTGGCTTTACGACTACCTTAATAAGAAGAGGAGTAAATATAATTATAAGCCCTTATAGAAATGCCCTAATATTAATAAAGCTAGAAGGAAGGGATATATACCTTTAAAAGAGATCTTAGAACGCTGCGACCGGAATAGTAAGACCTAGGATAACGAATGTTAGAAAGGATTTCGGGAGAATATCGAAAAGGACGCTAAAAGCGTTAAAAAGAGTATTAAAAACGACTCTTAGAAGTTATAGCCGAAAGAATCGCTAAAGGGGGTATCTAATTTTATTGATAACTAAGAGGAGGATTCTAATAAAGAATCCTATAGAATATACTCCCTTCTATTATGGGCTATAGCCCGCGGAATAGTCCCCGGCAGTGGCCGGGACTAAGAAGCATGGACCTCCTAGTAAGGCCCGTGCGATTCTATATATACTTAGCCGCCTATATACTGCGTAGACTTTTCCTTTCCTCCTTTCTTTCCTTAGTTCGAATAAACTATATTTTCGGCCTTAATACGTGAATAACTTTTAATAAGCCGTTATATATTCGAACTCTTAAGATTATAAGCTTTAATGCTTATATAGAAGGAGGTCCCAATCACTTCGCCCCGAGCCTACTAAGGGGCTAAAGGCAGGTCGTAGGGACTTTATATAATAAGATCGACGAACGCGTAGTATAACGCGTATAGAGAATAGTAAGGATATATCGCCCCTATTTATAATATAATTGCTAGCCTATAAATAGTCTTTAAAAGGTCTTAACTTAACCCGTAACTCGTACCTACGATATACCCGACGCTCACCCTAGTTATCACGCCCTCGCCCTTACCTAGGCCCCTAAAGGCAAAGACTGCTATACCTATCCCGGTACCGGCACCTATACTCTTATATCGTGTATAGTAGGTCGCCGTTTCCGTAAAATTTAGTAGAAAATGTATAGAATACATCGCTTAGTCCTAGGCTATACAACTAAAACTTAAACGTAATAGCCCGCTATTTCGTAGTAATAAAAAGGCATAGTATATAATCAACGTGTGCTTAGATACCTAGCCTTGGTAGGTAGTTAGTACTCTTTTTAGTAACAGAGGTATAAATGGTAAATTTAACCTAGAGGGATTTATAGCCTACCTCGACTATATATATAAGGACTATAACGAATAAGGCCGCGCTACTAATACCCTCCGATCGATAAAGTAAAAACCCAATTAGCCATTCGCGCGCTTCCTACCTACCTTTAAAAGGAACCTAGTATAAGTAGGAGGCTATAACTAGGTAGACTATATTAAGATATCGTTCGTTAATAGCGCCCTAAATAATAGGCGATATAATAGCCTAGTCGTAGCTAACCTCCCTAATACCTATACCGAGTAGGTTAATAAATATAAATAATCGCGTAAAGATAGGAGGGTATTATTAAGTCGTACCGACTAATTCCTATTACCTATAAACCGGCTAAGGATATTAACGGCAATATCGCTATAGGTAGAGTTAATAAGGTCGGCGAGTCTAAGGAGTCCTAATAAAAACCTAACCGCCAAGCGAATATTACGTATTAGAATTACTAGCAGAAGTGCTACGTTTAATAGCACTATAAGAGTAAGAAGGATATAGTAGCCTGAATATCCCCTTAAGAGGAGGAATCCGAAGATATTCTCGAAGATACCGAAGATTCGGAAAAAGAGTAGCTTTAGTACGAATCGGGTACTAAAGCTATCGGCGCGAGAGTAACACGAGTAGGAGGAATTTAAACCGTTATTACGGAGCGAGTTAGTATTAATCTAAGTAAGAGTTAATAATAGTAAATTAATAAACACTTTTATAGATACGGATTATAACTACTATACCGCTATAAATACAAAGTTTACTCGAAAAATATGCTTACTACTAGTTAATAAGAAGAAACAACTATTAAAAGGCTTCTCGGATAAGACTAAACCGGCTAGTAATACCAGTATCGTAGTCTTTACACTAGATATATAAGGGTATACCGAGCGCGTTTTCGCGTATATAATACTAGGTCTAAACTAGGATCTCTTCTTTAGGCTTTTATAGATAGAATATAACGATATAGTCCTTTATGCTAAGGAATAAAGGCTTCGCTACGGAGTAGCCGATATCGATATCCGACTTTAGGGCGAAGAAAAGCCGAAGGTAGTATAAGAGATCCGTATTATAGTATTAATAATAGGGTCCGTGCTTATAGGACTATACTAACGATTACGGCACTAAAGGGGAAAAAGATAGGAAAAGGGCTTATAGCCTATATCGTTAAAGAATATCGAAAAAGCTCTAAGTATAAAGGAGCCGGTAAACCCGTAAGAGTATATCTCCGAGAGTATAATATAAGAGTTCGGCGATTTATTCACGCCCTTATACTCTATACGCCTACCCCTATACCGACTTAGCGCTAACTATGAAGTCTATTTATAAAAGGATAGTAATAGTAACGAATAAGCCTTACTATAGGGCTTACTTTATAATATATCGC